TGGCACGCACCGGATGTCTCTGCGTCCGTCCACTGCTCCTCTGCGTGCCCCTTTGCCTTCTCCTCCTGAGTCTTCTCTTCCTGCTCTTGCCGACCCGGAGTCGGACTCTCTTCGTGCTGCCAGTCCTACTGTCACGCGTCTCCTTGCTACTGTTGTCACTGACCCTTCCTTTGAGTCCACTGCTGCGTCTGCCCTAGTTGCTGAGCTCGTCGACTTTGCTGCTCGCTGTCGCCTAGACTACGTCGCCAGTCTTGTTGCTGAGTCTGAGTCTGTCTGTCCTCCGTCCGTCGGGGGTGAGTGTGCCCTTGGCACGGACGTCCTTGAGGACAGGCAGGAGGAGTTCCAGTGCTTGGCAGCTGCTTCACCTCATCTCGTGTCCGTACTGCTTACCCCTGAGGGAGACCCGGATGCACTTGACATCCCGACTCCGCGCTCTTACGCGGAGGCGATAGAGGGTCCCTACTCCTCTCAGTGGCAGGCAGCTATGGACGCAGAGATGGCTTCCTGGAAGTCCACAGGCACCTACGTTGACGCTGTTCCCCCTCCTGGGGCGAACATCGTCAGTGGCATGTGGATCTTCAGGGTGAAGCGGCCGCCGGGTTCTCCGCCTGTCTTCAAGGCGCGTTACGTGGCTCGTGGCTTCAGTCAGCGGCAGGGAGTTGACTACTTTCAGACCTTCTCTCCCACCCCGAAGATGACCACTCTTCGGGTACTGCTGCACGTAGCTGCTCACCGTGACTACGAGCTACACTCTCTTGACTTCAGCACTGCTTTCTTGCAGGGCAGCCTGCACGAGGAGATCTGGCTGCGTCGCCCACCTGGCTTCACTGGGTCTTTTCCTCCTGGCACCCAGTGGAGCCTACGGCGGCCAGTCTACGGTCTCCGCCAGGCACCGCGTGAGTGGCACGACACACTGAGGACTACACTTGCGGCTCTTGGGTTTGCTCCCTCTACTGCCGACCCGTCGCTGTTTCTGCGCACCGACACTTCTTTGCCGCCGTTCTACATCCTCGTGTACGTCGACGACTTGGTCTTTGCCACAGCTGACACTGCAGGACTAGCCCACGTGAAGTCCGAGCTGCAGAAGAGACACACGTGCACTGACCTGGGCGAACTGCGCAGCTACCTTGGCTTGCAGATCACTCGGGACAGAGCACGCCGCACCATTACCCTGACTCAGTCACACATGGTGCAGCAGGTCCTTCAGCGCTTCGGCTTCACGTACTCCTCGCCTCAGGCCACTCCTCTGCCTACTCGCCACTCGCTCTCAGCTCTGCCTTCGGATGAGTCCGTAGAGTCGAGTGGCCCGTACCCAGAGCTTGTTGGCTGCCTCATGTACCTGATGACCTGCACACGACCTGACCTTGCATACCCTCTTAGCATTCTTGCACGCTATGTTGCTCCTGGGAGACACAGACCGGAGCACATGGCTGCAGCGAAGAGGGTGTTGCGCTACTTGTGCAGTACGTCGGACATGGGGCTGGTGCTTGGAGGGCAGAGTCCAGTGGTCCTTACTGGGCACGCAGACGCTTCTTGGGCTGACGACCAGGCTACGCAGCGGTCGTCACAGGGTTACACCTTCAGCCTTGGTTCCGGCTCTGTTTCGTGGCGGGCTACTCGCTCGTCTTCTGTTCTCGGCTCCAGTTGTGAGGCTGAGATCTACGCAGGAGCCATGGCTGCACAGGAGCTTCGCTGGCTCACCTACCTGCTGACTGACCTCGGAGAGTTGCCTCGTTCTCCTCCAGTGCTGTACGTAGACTGGAGCACAGAACGAAGCACATTGCTCTCCGCTACTTTCTTGCTCGTGAGCTGCAGCAGCGTGGTCAGCTGCGTCTTGCGTACGTGGCCTCTGAGGCCAACACTGCTGATATCTTCACCAAGGCGCTTGCGCCTTGTGACCATCAGCGCTTCTGTACTCAGCTGGGCCTTGTGCCTACCTTGCCTCACTTGCTCACCTCTTGACCTTGCTTGTACTGTTACATATATATATACCTGCTCTTGCTTGTCTAGCCTTTTTTATATATATGTACTCCTGCATGTGAACTGGCCTTGTGGCCTTGAACTTGTGCTCGGAATGTGTGGTGACTTTGTGATCCACCCTGAGCTTACTTTGCTTTGCTTTGCTTGATTGGTCTTGTGACCCCTTGTTCTCCCCCACTTTGCCTATGGGGGTGTGTCAGAACATTATAGCTCATGCATATTGTGTAGGCTATAGTGGGGTAGTCCATAAGGGGTACAACCCAATTAGGGTTAGTACTTGTACCCAATTCATTCATAGTTCATTCATCCCTTGTTTCTTTTCAGAGAACAGCCCTTTCGGCAGACAGAAAGGGTCAGAATGCTTGAGAGGAATGAAGGTGGAGGATCTACTTCAGGAGGAGTACGATGGAGGGTGGAGGGTCAAAGACATGTGGTCGCTGACTAAACAAACAGGCCTGTCAACTATGGCGAGGTGGGCGCTCATGGCGTGGAAAGCGGTGCCGGAACACTGGAAAGAAAAACTGCTAGCGAAGGTGTCGGCGTAAGCTGTTGCAGAGGCATCGAATTTGGTTCAAGTGGGAAGAGCAACGGCGGGGAAGCAGCGGTATCTTCAGGTTGCGCTATCGGAAGCTAAAGAACTGAGATGTGAAACGGTAGCAGTGGACGGAAAAGGAATGATTCAATATCTGGGGGAGACGGAGCAGCCGCCGGCGAGACTAGGAATGTTAACCCCGATGGTGGTCAGGGGAGGCAAGGTACTGGGGCAGGCGGGAGACCCGCTAGCATGACTACGAGCTCCTTTCTTATGCGAGAAGGGAAAACCTATGGCACAAAGGAAGCTGAGACATCTGCTCAGGAAACCTGTCACACAGCCGAAGCAGCAAAAGAGATGGGAAGAACTGTGGGGCGGGAAGATCGACTGGGAGAAGATTATCGAGAAGAGGGACTCGCTGGCAATCCCAGCCAAGGCGAGAGAAGTCCTGCTGAGACTGCACAGTAACAATCTGCAAGTGGGGAGCAGGGTGGCTTTCCTCGGTCCCAGTGCATGTTGCCCGTATTGTGGACAAGTGGAGTCACCGTCGCACTGTCTGATGAACTGCCCGGTAACGAGTGTCACTAGTGCGGAGGTGGGTAATGATGTCAGCGACTGTGGGAAAGGCGGACAGATCGAGGAAAAGATAGGGCAGCGAGAGACGGCCGATCGTAGCAGAGGCAGGCGAGGAGTAGCGCGCGACTACAACATCGTACAGTGCCTTAGCAGTCTTGTGCTGGCCAAAATGCGCGCGCTCATCCAACGGCAGGTGGCTGCGAATGGCTAGGCGAGCGTGAGCGTCACGAGTCTGCCACTGTGAGCGAGCCGTACTGTCAGCAGTCTCAGCAGGTGCGGGAGCGGATTCGGACGCGTGATCATACAGCGAGATATCGTCCTTAGCAGTGACCTGTAGGAACAGGTGCAGGTCGTCGAGCCAAGCATCAAACTGAACCGGACGGCCCTCAGCATCGAAGGAGAGAACGGTGGGACTAGCCATGGGGGCAGCAGTAGCAGTAGTAGCAGTAGCAGCAGGAACAGCAGGAGCAGCAGGAACAGCAGTAGCAGCAGGAACAGGGGCAGCAGTAGCTGCAGGTGGGGCAACGCGGCACAGCAGGGCAGCGCGGCTCGGTAGGGCTGCGCGGCTCGGGCAGGGCGGCGCGACTCAGGCAGGGCGGCGCGGCGCGGCTCGGGCAGGCAGGGCGGCGCGACGGCGGGCCTGCGCGCGGTTTTGCGGCTGCGCGTAGGCTGCAGCTGCGCGCGGGCTGCGGCTGCGCGTAGGCGGTGGTTGCGGCGGGCTGCAGCGGTCGGCGTGCGAGCAGCTGCGGCGTGCGGGCTGCGGCTTGCGTGCTGGCTGCTGCTGCGCGGCCTGCGTGCGGGCGGCGGCTGCGCGAGGCGGCGGCCTGCGTGCGGGCGGCGGCTGTGCGAGGCGGCGGCCTGCGTGCGGGCGGCGGCTGCGCGAGGCGGCGGCCTGTGTGCGGGGCTGCGGCGCGCGGGACGGCAAGCAGGGCCGGCCGGCGGGCAGCTCGCGGGCTGCGCGTGGGGCCGCACGAGGCCGTTGTGGGCTGCGCGCGGGCGGCGCTGGCTGTGCGGGCGGCTAGCGGGCTGCGCGCACGGTAAGCGGGCTGCGCGCGGGCGGCTAGCGGGCTGCGCGCGCGCGGTTAGCGGACGGCGTGCGGGCAGCGCGAGGGGCAGAGTGCGCGAGGGCGCACGAGTAGAGAGAGGCGCACGAGGGCGCGAGGAAGGCAGGGCGCACGAGGGCGCTTCTAGCGGAACGGTGGGCCCGTAGTAGTAATCGGTCCTAGGTGCCTAACCTAGGCTCGTAATACTTTGTTAGAATGAACAAGAGTGAATGGACTAGAACAGAGATGGGTACAAGTAGGAAAACCTAAAAGTGTTGTACCCCATAGAAACTACCCCACTACAGCCTAAGCAGACTATAGTATATAAGTTTGACATTTAGGTCCCAAGTTTTTCCTTGCAGGTCGCCTGCTTTCCTTGCAGGTCGTCTTCTTGTTAAAGCTCACGATGACCCCTGCTGGTAAGATATTATCCTGTTTTTTAATATTTATTTTATGCATTGACGTTCAATTCCATTCTGCAGCCCTCGAGAATCAGCAGCTGATGGTTTTCCCTCCGAAAATCTGAAGGTCGGAATGTCATCGTTGATGTTACCTCTGAGGTTGCCTTCGGGCAAAGCAGGTGAAGACGTAGTAAATTGAATAATCAGTTAGTACATTGCTTGATGTGTAGTTTCTAGGTTGTAGATTGCTAGGTAGTTCTTTCTCAGGAATTATGAATTTCTCAGGTTCTTTCCCGAAGGTCCCTAGACTAGAGCATCCATCCCGCGCTTCCTTTTGAACCGTTAGATGGCAAGCATCGGTGTTGCCTGCTGCCGTCACCATCGCTCCCCATTCACCCATGCGCGACCCGCCCCGTCTCCTCTCTCACACCACACCTCTCGATACCGCCGTCCCCTCGCCGCACCGACATGCCCGCCGCCCTCTCCGCCTGGGTGTGCCTCGCGCTCAACGTCACTGCCGCCTGCCACCTCCTGCTGCTTCCCCCGCGCGGCTCCCTTCCCCCCGCCGCGCATTCCCGCGCGCCGGACACCGCCCAATCACACGCGGGTAATGAAGGTGACCCGCGGGCTGACTTGAGGGCTGGGTTCTGCGCCGCGGGTCTGAGCGTCGCAGACGCCGTGCGATGGCCGTGCTCGTCGCAGCATCGTCGCCGTGCGACGGCCGCCGTGCAGGCGAGCGCGGGCAGAATGGCGGAGCATTGCGGCGGCGCGATGGATGGTGGCGGCGGTGTTGACCCACGGCCGTGGTAAGAGCCGCTGCGCCCTCGACCCTCCCCTCTGCCCCCGCGCGCCTTCTCGCACGCCTGCACCCCGCCGCTCCCTTACTCTAGCGCCGCTGGTTCCCATAGGCCCCCCTCTCCCTTTCCCCACCCGCCCCATTCAATGTCCCCCTGTTATTCCTTTCCTCCCCTTCCACCCGCCTCACCCTCCTTACACCCCTCGCCCTCCTTTGATTTTCCCCAAGGTCTCTCAACCTCTCACAACCTTCGCCGTCCTCTCCCAGTCCCCTATTCCTTCGCCGTCCTCTCCCAGTCCCCTATTCCTTCGCCGTCCTCTCCCAGTCCCCTATTCCTTCGCCGTCCTCTCCCAGTCCCCTATTCCTTCGCCGTCCTCTCCCAGTCCCCTATTCCTTCGCCGTCCTCTCCCAGTCCCCTATTCCTTCGCCGTCCTCTCCCAGTCCCCTATTCCTTCGCCGCTGGTCGCACGCGCTGCACATCGCCTCTCGCCCTCCCTCTCTGCCACTCCGCTTCCCCGCCTCTCTGCCTCTCTGCCTCCCTGCCTCTCTGCCTCTCTGCCTCTCTGCCTCCCTGCCTCTCTGCCTCCCTGCCTCCCTGCCTCCCTGCCTCCCTGCCTCCCTGCCTCTCTGCCTCCCTGCCTCCCTGCCTCCCTGCCTCCCTGCCTCTCCTTGAACCCAACCAACTTCCCCTCCCCACCATTCCGTGCCCCTTCCTTCGCCCCAAGCCCACCACGTGTCCCAACTCGCTACCACCCGTCACTGTCACTTCACCACCCTTCCCGCCTTCCTTCCCTCATCTCTTTCCCACTCTTCCGCCTCCCCCTCCGCCCCCCCCAGCAACAGGCTACAGGGGGACCTGGTGGCGCTGGGGGCAAGCTGGGGGACAGCGGAAGGGGGGGGGCGGAAAGGGAGAGGTGGACGGGCGGGGAAGCAGCAGCATAGGATTGGCGGGGAGCAAGGAGGCAGGGGGAGCAGAGCGCAGGAGGAGCAAGGCGGGCGCGAGGACAGGAGCGAGGCGGGTGGTGGGGGGGTGGTGTGGGCGGAGGGGACGTGCTCCCAGCTGTTCCTCCTCGAAGGTGTGGTGTGGTGAGAGACCGTGAGCCTTGTTTTGAGTCGACTCAAAACGTGCGCCCAGCTGTTCCTCTTGGAAGGTTGGTGTGCTGAGGGACCGTGAGACCACCCGCGCCCTCCCCGCCCCTCGTGGTGGTGTGGTACAGTGTGGTGCGGTGCGGTGCGCTGTGGTGCGGTGTTTGTTTGTGGCATCAGACACAGCTCCTCAGCGTCCCCCCTCTCTCACCACCACTTCCCTTCTCCTCTCTCCCATTCCATCTCGCTGTCGCCTTATCTTTCACTCAAATGCGCCATTTATACAAACGCATTCATTCATGCCCCCAGCTCTCATACCGCCTCCCCACTCTCCTCCTCCTTGCTGCCTTGTCTTCCCCCGTCGGTCCCTGCCACAGGTGCTTGCCTCCGTGCCCTCTCGCTAGCGCACCAGCACACAATGCCCCTAGTTGTTGACAGCACTCCTAACACCCCCATGCCGCATTGGTCTTCGCCCCTCTCCGCGCTGTGTGTGCCGCTCACTGCACACCAGCCTTCCTCTTCCCCACCCCGCTCCTCTTCCTCCTCCTCCTCCTCCTCCTCCTCCTCCTCCTCCTCCTCCTCCTCCTCCTCCTCCTCCTCCTCCTCCTCCTCTTCACCCTCCTCCCGCAGTCCACACTCCTCCCCATCATCACCCCCTCCAGCCGCTACCAACCGCTCGCCATCTCAGCCACAGCCACACTCATTCCCCCCGACACCTTTCACTGCGCCCCCACACGTTGCTGACACCCAGGTGGGCTCCCCACGCCTCCCTGCCTCCCTGCCTCCTGTGTCGCCTTTCTGTTCCCATGACATTGCCGTCCCTGCCTCACCCCATGCATCTGACCACTAGCGAGTGCCCCTGTTCATGCCTGCCCTGCCCCCCATGCCTGCCTGTGTCCCATCCCATGCCCCCACTTCGTCCCGTCCTCCCCGCCTCGTCCCCGATCCCGATCCGCACAGCGGCCTCCTGTGCCTCGTGCCACTCCACCCACCCCCCGCAATCATGCCATCATGCAAACCACCCCCCAGCCTGCCTTTGCCCGTACCACACCTCTGCCTCTGCCCCCTCTGCCATGCGCCCTCATATCCCACACCACACCACACCACACCACACCACACCACACCACACCAAACCACCCCACACACATGGGACCCTGTATGTTCCATAGCAGCCCTCACCCGCACCCCCTCCTGCGTGTGTGCCCCCCCCCATCCCTCTGCCAGGAGATAGCACAGCTGCGGCGAGCAGTGCAGGGGTCTCCTGGGGATATTTCTCTGCTGTTCCAACGAGGTGCGGGGATTTGGGAGAGTTGGAGGTGGGGGTTGGGAGTGATTGATGGGAAGGGGAAAAGGAGGGAATTGGGAGGAAGATAGGTGAAACGGGAAGGAGGAACATTTGTGAGGAAGAAGCGAGGGGCCAAGGAGGAAGAAGTGAGAGGCCAAGGAGGAAGAAGCGAGAGGCCAAGGAGGAAGAAGTGAGAGGCCAAGGAGGAAGAAGTGAGAGGCCAAGGAGGAAGAAGTGAGAGGCCAAGGAGGAAGAAGTGAGAGGCCAAGGAGGAAGAAGCGAGAGGCCAAGGAGGAAGAAGCGAGAGGCCAAGGAGGAAGAAGCGAGAGGCCAAGGAGGAAGAAGTGAGAGGCCAAGGAGGAAGAAGCGAGAGGCCAAGGAGGAAGAAGTGAGAGGCCAAGAAGGAAGAAGCGAGAGGCCAAGGAGGAAGAAGCGAGAGGCCAAGGAGGAAGAAGCGAGAGGCCAAGGAGGAAGAAGCGAGAGGCCAAGGAGGAAGAAGCGAGAGGCCAAGGAGGAAGAAGCGAGAGGCCAAGGAGGAAGAAGCGAGAGGCCAAGGAGGAAGAAGCGAGAGGCCAAGGAGGAAGAAGGGAGAGGCCAAGGAGGAAGAAGTGAGAGGCCAAGGAGGAAGAAGCGAGAGGCCAAGGAGGAAGAAGCGAGAGGCCAAGGAGGAAGAAGCGAGAGGCCAAGGAGGAAGAAGCGAGAGGCCAAGGAGGAAGAAGCGAGAGGCCAAGGAGGAAGAAGCGAGAGGCCAAGGAGGAAGAAGTGAGAGGCCAAGGAGGAAGAAGTGAGAGGCCAAGGAGGAAGAAACGAGAGGCCAAGGAGGAAGAAGCGAGAGGCCAAGGAGGAAGAAGCGAGAGGCCAAGGAGGAAGAAGGGAGAGGCCAAGGAGGAAGAAGTGAGAGGCCAAGGAGGAAGAAGCGAGAGGCCAAGGAGGAAGAAGCGAGAGGCCAAGGAGGAAGAAGTGAGAGGCCAAGGAGGAAGAAGTGAGAGGCCAAGGAGGAAGAAGTGAGAGGCCAAGGAGGAAGAAGTGAGAGGCCAAGGAGGAAGAAGCGAGAGGCCAAGGAGGAAGAAGCGAGAGGCCAAGGAGGAAGAAGCGAGAGGCCAAGGAGGAAGAAGCGAGAGGCCAAGGAGGAAGAAGCGAGAGGCCAAGGAGGAAGAAGCGAGAGGCCAAGGAGGAAGAAGCGAGAGGCCAAGGAGGAAGAAGCGAGAGGCCAAGGAGGAAGAAGCGAGAGGCCAAGGAGGAAGAAGTGAGAGGCCAAGGAGGAAGAAGTGAGAGGCCAAGGAGGAAGAAGTGAGAGGCCAAGGAGGAAGAAGTGAGCTCAAGTTTGTGAGGGGGCAGCGGGGATTGCAAAGGGGAGGGAGATGGAGGGAGGACACACTCCTTTTCAAGCGAAAACCGCTCTTTCAAAAACAGCCACACATATCACAGCGGTCAGCTGAAGCTCCCTTCACCAATACACCATCCTCTCCTCTCCCCCCTCTCTTCCTTACCCGGCCCAAATTCCCTCTCTGCAGCTCCATCCGGCCTTGACTCCGCCGCGCATTCCCACCCACCCTGCACCTCCGTCCCACCCCACCCACCCCTCTTCTTTGTCGCGTATTCCCATCTCTTGCACGCCCTGCCAGGCATGGCGCTGTTGGGTGCGATCCGCAACTGGGAGGCTATTGATGACTTCAAGGCCGTGCTGCTGCTCTCACCACACCACCACAATGCACGCGCACACCTGGTTCGTTCATGGAGAAGCACAGGCAGGGGGAGGGAGACAGTCAACCCCAACACAAACCCTCGCTCGTTTTGAGGCGCCTCAAAACTTCATTTGCATGCAGTGAACCCCAACACAACCCTCCTCCCAGATTCGTAGCACTAGCTATCCCCCTGTCTCCCTCCCCTGCCCGCCCCCTGCCTGTGCTTCTCCATGCCAATGCCAGCACTACAATCCCATCACAACCACACCTCACACAACATACCCCACCCAACACACCCCACCTCCCCCCTCCACCCAGACTCAACCCCTCCCTTTTTCCTCCCCATCCCCCTCCCTCCAACCCCCATCCCCTCCCCCTCCTCTCTCCCCTTCTCCCTCCCTCCTCCCCCACTCCCCCCTCCCTCTCCCCTCCCTCCCTCCTCTGCACCCGCAGGCGCAGGCGCTACAGGCGGTGGTGGCGGCGCAGGGGCAGTACTGGCAGGTGCGCGTGGTGCTGGGGCAGGCGCTCATGGTGGCGGGCCATGCACAGGAGGCCGACTCCGCCCTACAAGCTGTCCTGGCTATGGATGCACGGTGAGAGGGGAAGTGGGAAGGGTGGGGGTGGGGGGATAGGGAGGGGCGAGGGGAAGAGGGGTGGGGGAAGGGGGAGGGAAGGATGCTGGGGACAGGGAGAGAAGTGTGGAAGAGAGAAAGCAAGGGGGGAGTTGTGGTGTTGAATGATGGTGGGTGGTGGTGGTGGCGATGTTGCCAGGGCAGGGGCAGTACTGGTAGGTGCGCGTGGTGCTGGGGCAGGCGCTCATGGTGGCGGGGCTCGCACAGGAGGCTGACGCTGCTCTGCAGGCTGTATTGGCCATGGACGCACGGTGAGCACAGGAGGGGGAGACGCTTGGGGAGGGGAGAAGGGGGCGTGGTGCGTGGGGCAGGCGCTCATGGTGGCGGGGCACGCTCTCGACGCCGATGCCACCCTGCAGGCCGTTTTGGCCATGGATGCACGGTGAGCAGCGAGGGGGAGGGGACGGGTCGTAAGGGGAGGGGAGAAGTGGGAGGGGTGGGAAGGGAGGGGAGGGGGGTTGTCACGCACAGGAGGCCCACTCCACTCTGCAGGCTGTCCTGGCCATGGATGCACGGTGCGCAGGAGGAGGGAGGGCAGGAGACGGGGGGATGGGAGGGAGGGGAGGGGAGGGACATCCAGATGCTGCTTCAATCTGAGCTGCCACCCACCACTGTGCTCCGCTCTCCCTGCTCTTCTCTGCTGGTCTCTGCCGTCTCTCTTCCCCCCCTCTCCTCCCAGCAACGTGGAGGTGCAGCGCATATATGCCAACTTCCACTTCTCCATGGGCCACCACCAGTACGTTCCCCTGGCCGGTCCCCTTAGCCCCTCTCTCCACTCAACCCCCCTCTCAGTCACCCCTTTCACGAACCTCCCCTCAATTCACTCCCCCCACTCACTCAACTCACCCCTCCAACCCAAAACAGCAACTTCTCGTTACAACCCTCCCCTGTCCAGCGTGTTTCTATGGTCTACCCTGCATCGCTGCATTACTGCACTGCACTATCGCGCCTTGAGTCTGCTCCACAGGCCTCCCCCAACCCTTTTCCCTGCCCGCCACCACCTCTCTCTACTGCCCTCATGTTCTCTCTCGGCTCATCTGCAGCATCACATCTCGCCGTTCCCCTCTTGCACCTTCCTCTCCCCTCTCAGCCCCTCCATACCCCATCCTTCTCTGTGCTATTCCCTATGGTATCACACCACTCTTCTCTGTGCTATTCTTCACATGCCTTCATGCACGCACGTTATCAGTGCCTGCACAGCACTGCACGCGCCCATCTCATGCTCCCCTGTCCCAATGAGCCCATCGCAAGCATGACTCCCACCGTGCCATCCATCCCCACCGTGCCATCCCACCTTGGATCCCAACCATGCTTATCCCACAGCACCGTGCTATCCACAGCACAACACGTCCTCAGCATCACACCATCAGACATTGAAATGCGCTTCCTGGAAGCGTCTTGCCTGCACGCCATGGGCCGATGGGCTGAAGCGGTGAGTACCCCCCCTCACTCTCACACCTCCCCACCTTGTGGAATCCCTCCCGACCAGTCAGCACCTTACTGCTCCATGCTGCCATTCGTGCACTCCCGGAGTCCCGGATTTGCCAGCCCGCGGCCCTCGCCCAGAGCACTCCGCTCACATTTCACTCTCCCCACACTTGTCCACCTGCCTCTGCTGGCATGGCATGGCAGGTGCGCAAGTACAATGACCTCATGAGCCTCTCCCTCCCCCCGCTCTACTCTCGCCAATCCCACTCCCTTTGCCCATCCCTCTCCCCACAATTGTCCACCTGCCTGCCTGTGCTGCCATGGCATGAGCATGTGTGAGCGTGCATGTGTGAGCGTGCATGTGTGAGCGTGTATGTGTGAGCGCACGTGTGTGGATGTGCATCCATTCGTGCATATGCATGCTTTTCTGCATATGCGTGCACACATGTGCATGGAATGCGAGTGCACTGCATGGCATGGCACACAGAGGGAGGTAGCACTGTACATGGCAGCACGGCAGAGCAAACCCTTTGCACTCTTTCGGTTATTGGACCACCTTGGACCTCACTTCAATGTACCCTCTGTTGCTTGCAAGATTACACTTGCTGCATATGACTCCCCCTCATCCTCTATTTCGCACGTCCTCTCCGGTCTTCCTAAATATTCCTTTTCCCAACATTACACCCCTTTCCCGACTCCCCACCCCCTTTACCCTCTCATTCGTTCTCCCCACACCTTCTCCACACACCTTCTCCACACACACCTTCTCCACACACACACCACCGCTACCACCACCGCCGCCGGTGCAGGAAGCGTGGAGCAAGCGCATGCCGCCCTCTGTGCTCTTCCCCGGCTACGAGCTCCAGAAGGAAGGGCGCGCACATGGTGGCACGAAAAGGGCAGGCGCAGCAGGGGAGGATGATGCGATGCTGTCGCCCTCTGTGCTGCAGCTGGTGGGGGCAGCTGAGCGGCTGGGCGCACTCGCAGCATATGACTGGCATGGAATCCTGCCTAACACGCGCCAGGTGGGTGCTGGTGGGAGAGTGGGAGAAGGGGGGCTGATGGATGGATGGGAGTCTTATGAGCAGGCTCGAATCTCACCACACTCACAGCGTATGACTGGCACGGGTTGCAACAGGACTGGACTGCACAGGCATTTAGGTGCCTCAACAAGTCCATCTCTCCTTTTCCCCCATCGCTTCCTCTTCCCCCCCACTGGGTGCATGGATCACCCCCACCAGTACCGCATGGCAGGGCTGACATTGATGAACATTCTTTTAGGGGGCTAGACAAATCCCCTCCTTCCTACTCCCTCTTCTCCCGCCACCATCACCAGTACCGCATGGCAGGGCTGGCGATGATTTACTCTCCCATCTCACTCCTCTCCCCGCCCCTCTTCCCTCCTCTCACCCCCCACCAGTACCGCATGGCAGGGCTGGCAATGATGGACCTTCGGGACCTCGTGCGCCGCACATGGGGGGCCATGGCAGAGGAGAGAGACAGCGCGGTGGAGAGCGGTGCAGATGGACAGCCGGCAGAGGGCAAGCGGGGCTCGGGAGGGAAAAGGGGCCAGCAGCGAGAGCAGCAGCAGCAGGAGGAGGAGGGGGGAGGGGAGGAGAGGAAGGGAGGGGAGGGGAGGGGCGAGGGGGCACGGGGGCAGAGAGGGCGGAGGAGGCGGGGGGAGACGGTGGCGGGGGGAGACGGTGGCGGGGTGGCGAGACGTGTATGATCGTGTGGTGAGGTGGCGACAGCTGGCAGATCCAAGCACGGCTGTGGTGTGGATGGATCGACTCAGGTGGGGTGGGGTGTGAGGGAGGGCAGGGAGGGTAGTGCGGGTCGGGAGGGTAGGAGAGGGCAGAGAGGGCAGGGAGTACAGAGAGAGCGGGAGAGAGCATTGAGTATGTGTGGTTGTTGCATGGCATGGTATGGTACTCCTATGCGTGAGATGCCAGGGCTCCACCTCGTGTGCTATGAAGGCGATCATATAGTGACACCTCAAGGCAATTGTGTGCGTCATTGTCACTTCTGTTCTGAACCTTTGGCGTGGCGTGGCGTGGCATGGCATGGCATGGATGACCTACCATGGATGACCTGGATGCAACGCTGGACACGCCACTCATGAACGGCCAGTCCATCAACGCACGCTACTCGCCCTACTACAACTGGTGGGCACCCACCCACTCCCGCACTCATGTTACCTTACCCACCCTTTAGTGGGTGGGTGGGTACTCACCTGTTGAGTCCACTTCTTCGAACTGTGATTGCACACTACTCGCTTCGCTCGCTCTACTACTGCAGGTGGGTACCCCCATCCACTCAAAGGCTGCCCTGTGTCTGCACGGCGCACACACAGGCTTGCACAGGGCTGGCGGGTGCTAGGGCCTGGCATGGAGTGGAGCGGAGCTTTGTGGTGGTCCGAATGGGTTCGGTGCGGTGCTAGGACATGGCATGGAGAGGCGGGGCATCTGTTGCTGCCTGCTATGCGCCCGCTGCGTCTGTAGCCCCTTCTCCCCTTTCCATCCACCCCCACACCACATCCCCGTTTCTTCCCTCCCTCCCATACCTCCCTTTCTGTCTCTCCCTCTCCCCTTCCAACTCTCCCTCCCCTGCTCCCTCCCCCTCTCCCAACCCCTCTTCCTTCCTCCCTCCCTTTTTCCCTCTCCGTCCCCATCCCCCTTCCCCTCCCCACCCCTCATCAGCACACTCCACCTACTACACGCGCTCTTGCTGCAGAGGGCACCATCAGCAGCAGACAGAATGGAGCAGGTGAGTTGTGCTACTAGCTCCTTGCCCTTTCGCCTCCGCCCCCTCCCCTGCTCTGTCTCGCCCTCTCAACTCTCTCCTCTTTCTTTCCTCCCAACGATCAGCACTTCCCTCCCTCACCCCCCCGCCTCTGTCCGTTCTTCGTTTCCTTCTGCCGTTATCAAGCATGCCATCTAAATTTCCTCCTTCACCCATACTACTGTGCTCCATGGCATGACCCTGCATGGCACGGCATGGCTCGGCATGGCATGACATGGTGTGGCATGGCATGGAATGGCACGTGGCACGCAGTTATCAGTGGCAGGGAGTGTGGAGGAGGTGTGGGCAGTGGCGGGTGGAGACTCATGGGCCACCATACCCTGCCACAGCACAGCATCTCCCGGGTGAGAGTAGTAGCATCGCCTGCTAGTAGTACTGCTGAATGAACGGTGAGAAGGATTGTACTGCTGAGTGCGGGGAGAGAGGCAGTACTGCTGAGTGCGTGGTGAGGGCTTTTGAGGCGTCCCCTGCATGAGAGGGGTGGGACTGAGTGCGGGGAGAAGGCGGGAAAGCAAGGGCGAAACAGAAGCAGGGATGGTATTGCAGGGTGAATGGTGAGCGGAAGCTGTGTTGGGAGTGAAGGTTGAGGAACACTCGGTTTGCTTTGAAACATCTCAAAATCAAGTATATGTCACAGGGATGGGAATGCAAGGTGAACGGTGAGGAAAAGGCGTGTTGGGAACGTGGGAGTTGAGGTCGAGGACCATGCGCTTTTTAGAGCCGTGCGCTTTTTAGTTCCTCCAACCCCCCCTCTTCCAGTGTCTCCACACTGCTTGCCTTATCTTGTCTCCTGGCCCCGTCGTGCTCTTATCGCCCCCCTGCCACGCTCTCATCACCACCCCCCGCCCCTGCCCTCTGCCCCTCCCCACCATCTCCAGCACTCTGCTGAACGGGACTCGCATCACCCTCTCCCGCACGTGAGTCACCTCACTTCACCTCACCTCACTCCAGGCAATCAATGCTCTTGCTTCAATATGAGCTGCCACCCACTGCAATGCTCCCACGTGCTTTTCTCTTCTGTGCCATGTCTCTCCCCTTCCGCTCCTACCTCCCAGCAACGTGGAGGTGCAGTGCATTTATGCCAACTCCCACTTTACCATGGGCCATTATGCCCCCTCAGCCCCTCCTTCCACTTAAGCCCTCTCACAACCACCCGCTTCACACACGCCATCCCCCACCGTGTGATACCCCACCCACCGTGCCATCCCCCACCGTGTGATACCCCACCCACCATGCCACCCCCCACCGTGTGATACCCCACCCACCGTGCCATCCCCCACCCACCATGCCATTCCCACCATGCCATCCCACCATGCCATCCCAATGTGCCATCCCACATGCCATTACTCACCATCCCACAGCACCGTGCTGTCCACAGTACAACACGTCCGTAGCATCGCACCATCAGACATCGAGATGCGCTTCCTGGAATCTTCTTTGTCTGCCCACGATGGGCCGATGGGCTGAACCAGTAAGATCCCCCCCCTAACTCTCACACCTCCCTATTTTGTGGAATCCTTACCAGCCAGCTCCGTGCTGCCCTCTGCTGCCATTATTACACTCCTGGTTCCCACCACACCCCCTTGCATTTTCCTTTGTGCTCTCCCATCCCTCTGCCCACACTCGTATACCTGCCCGTGGCAGGTGCGCAAGTACAATGACCTCTAACGCGCCGTGCCCCCCACCTGTCTGCTTGCATGCTCCTCGTGTGTGAGCGTGCATGCATGTGCGAGAGTGCGTGCATGTGTGAGAGTGCGTGCATGTGTGAGAGTGCGTGCATGTGTAAGAGTGCGTGCATGTGTGAGAGTGCGTGCATGTGTGAGAGTGCGTGCATGTGTAAGAGTGCGTGCATGTGTGTGCGTGAGTGGATGCGTGTGCGTGTATGCATGCCTGTGCATGCTTTTCTGCATGTGCATGGAATGCGAGCGATTTGACTGGCACCCAGAGGGAGGGAGCACTGTACATGGCAGGTCGTCAGAGCAAGCCCCCTGCACTCTTCCGAGCATGGAACCACCTCGGGCCTCTCTTCAACGTGAGACCCTAGCCCCTTGTAATTGGCCACTGCTGCTTGCAACATTACGCTTGCTGCATCTTATTCCCCCAATTCCCCTCCTCTCCTCATCCCCTTCTCCCCTCATCCCCTATTCCTGACTTCTTCTCCCTTCTTCCTCCCAGTTCATTATCCCAACAGCACCTCCCCCGCACCCACCAACCCCCCCATCTCTTCACCCCATTTTCCCTTCAACCTTCCAACCTTTCTCACTCTCCCCTTCCCTTCCCACCAACTGCTGCCGCCGCCGCTGCTTCTGCTGCTGCTGCTCCTTACCCAACTGATTACCCTGAATTCCCTTTCCCTTCGTTCTCCTCGTTCCCCTCGAGCCCCTGCACCGCTTGTGACAGTGCGTTGAGCAGCAGAGGGTAGCACACGTGCAGGCTGCAGGCAAAGCGCACGTCCACATGCACCAGCGGTGCTCCCCTCTGCCCTGCTGCTCCACCTGACCCCTCTGCTGTTGGTGCTGCTGCTGCTGCAGCTGCTTCAGTTTCTGTTGCTTGCTACTGCGGCTGATGCGACGGCTGACGAGACACCTGGAACTCCTCCTGTTTGTGCTGCTGGTGAGACTCGTCTGAGCGATGCCACTGACCCTGGTACACAGTTATCCCCTGCAGTGTCTGCTGCACGACGATGCACACATTTGAGGCAAAATCGTCCCCTTCAAATCTTCAGGGTTTAGGGTTTACGAAGGAGAATTGTCTTGGTAAACCCTCTAGGGTGTTTTTGATGGTCGAAATGGGTTAGGGGGGGTCGCGCTGGGGCTTTTTTTATTTTTCGGTCAGCCCGAAAAAAATACGGGGTGCGTCCTGCGTCTGGACGCGCGTCCTGCGTCTCTGCGTCTGGACGCAGCGTCCAGACGCAGGACGCAGCAGGACGCGTGCGTCTTTCTCCACTCAGCTGCCGCCCCACTAACTGCCGCACCACTAACTGCCGCACCACTAACTGCCGCACCACTAACAGCCGCACCACTAACTGCCGCACCAATAACTGCCGCCCCACTAACTGCCGCCCCACTCATTTCCGCCCCAGGCGCAGCATATCCGTGCCATGAAAAGAACAGCCCACCATCGTTTCACCGTCGCCATTCAACCCAGCGCTGTCAGTGGCAGCACCATTTCCCGTCACACCACCCGCGCCACTGCAACTGCCACCACTCCCTGGTGCGCTATCAGAATGCCAGTTCCAAAAACAGCAGCAGCACACCACCACCACCACCACTTGCCTTGGCCCCTCCAGTGGTACTTCTGCCTGCAGCATCGCCTCCCAGCACTCACTATACAGCACTCACTATATGCACTGCCACTGCCACTGCCAGCAGCGGCGCCAGTAGCAGCAGCAGTGGCAGCAGCAGGGCCGTGGTGTGGGCGCAGCGTGACTACCACAGGCGGCTTGCAGGCGGGCAGGCGAGCAGCAGAGGCGAGGAGGTCCCTGTGGAGCACCACCTCCCAGGGGGGCAGCTCCACCGCCGCACTCGTATAGCTGCGAGGGGAGGGGAGGGCGAGACGGGAGTGTGGGATGGGTGGGTGGACGAGGCATGGGTGGGGTTAGAGATGGTGGCAGAAGAGGGCCGGTGGGGGTACGTGCGAGCTTTGAATAAACACCTCATCAGGTTTGCTGCCTCGGCATTGTGGTGACTGGCAGGCACGAGGTGACAAGCGCGCGCGCAGCAGAACAGGCGATGGGGCAATGGGAAGGCTCATGAGAGCGGGGGGCTGTGGAAGTGCGCTTGCAACGACTCCGTCAGGCCCGCACTCACCATTGTTGCGCCCACGCCCACTTGCTCTTCCTACGCTATCTTCTCAGATAGCCTAGCGCCATCCCACAGCACATCCGTCTCACCGCTCCCACCGCTCTCGCCGCTGCCACTGCTCCCGCCGCTGCCACTGGTTGCTCCCCCACTGCTCCTCAGCCGCTCCACCACCAACTCCCATGCCGCCTCCTGGAAGCTGCCCTCCCGCATCCTCCCCCCCCGCACCCGCCCTTCCCCACCCCCACCCGCCCTTCCCCCATTCGCCCCTTTACCTCTGCCTCCATCGCTTCCGCCCCCGGCGCTTCTCCCTTTACTGCGCTGGCAATGTAACAACTGTGCTGTACATTGACGCTGTACAACACAGCAAGTTTCCATGTCGGTACTACATCACTTTTCTGCGTGAACACTGAACAGCCCTCGTCACATGGGGGCAAACAAGTTCATCATTGCACACAAGGGGAGGTACTCACGACGGGAAACTTCCGGGAAATTTTGCCCCAATAATGTCTCATTCAGGGACCACATGTATCGTACTCTGCAGAGTCTGAGCCTATATACACTCAATCTGTGTCTCTAGAACAATACCTCTGAATGGTTTAGGGTTCATAAACCACAAGATCCGAAAAATCAGTTTCCAGTGGGTGACCTGTCTGAAATCTCAAACTAGTTAGAGTATAAAACAGTCCTAGTTTCATTCGTGTTTGTCTGGAGCGTTATGCGCGTGCTCACCCGCTATATAACAAGCCTTTTTTGTTTTCATGGTCTAGCGGTTGGGATTCAGACACATATGGTATTCTAAGAAAACGCTCACAGTCATTACGTATCCCTAACTCTACGCTCACAGTGGCGAGTATCTCTCACAGTGTCATCACATAACCCAATTACGGTAGTATATAGCTGCTTTGCCTCGTGTTAATGTCAAACTATAATGCTACTTGTGTTGTGTAGGCTGTAGTGGGGTAGCCTACATGGGGTACAACCCAATTAGGGTTATACTTGTACTCAGTTTGAAGTCAATACAATCATTCCTGCTCGTTAGTTTCTTACATGGTTTCAGAGCAGTAGGTCCGTAGGACCGTTTTTTTTTTTCGGGCCCACCATTACCTAGTGACCGACTGCGGTTACCGCGTTACCCCACGCCCTGCCCTGGCGTTGCGCCGACAGCGTGCGTCCTGCCCTGCCCTGCCTTGCGTTGCGCCGACAGCGCGCGTCCTGCCCTGCCCTGCCTTGCGTCGCGCTGCCCCGCGCACGCCCTGCCCTGCCTTGCGTTGCGCAGACAGCGCGCGTCCTGCCCTGCCCTGCCTTGCGTCGCGCTGCCCCGCGCACGCCCTGCCCTGCCTTGCGTCGCGCTGCTCCGCGCACGCCCTGCCCTGCCTTGCGTCACGCTGCCCCGCGCACACCCTGCCCTGCCTTGCGTCGCGCTGCCCCGCGCACGCCCTGCCCTGCCTTGCGTCGCGCTGCCCCGCGCACGCCCTGCCCTGCCCCGCGTCGCGCTGCCCCGCGCGCGCCCTGCCTTGCCCCGCCTCCTGCTGCAGCTCGCGCCCTGCTGCCCTGCGCGTCGCGCCCTGCTGCAGCCCGCACGTCGCGCCTTGCTGCCTTGCGCGTCGCGCCCTGCTGCCTTGCCGGTCGCGCCCTACGTCTGCCCCGCGCGTTGCGCCCTGCTGCCCCGCACGTCGCGCCCTGCTGCAGCCCGCGCGTCGCGCCCTACTGCCCCGCGCATCGCGCCCTGTTGCATCCCGCCGTCGCGCCCTGCTACAGCCCGCGCGTCGCGCCCTGCTGCCCCGCGCGTCGCACCATGTTTCAGCCCGTGCGTCGCGCCCTGCTGCAGCCCGCGCGCCGCACCCTGCTGCCCGCGCGTCGCGCCCTGCTGCAGCCCGCGCGTCGCGACCTGCTGCCCTGCACAGCGCGCGCCCTGCTGCCCGCCCCGCCCAGGCCGAGTCGCGCCACCCAGCTCGAGCCGCCCTGCCCAACCTGATCCACCATGCTGCTCGTGCTACTGCTGCTGCTGGTGGAGGTACTGCTAGGAGTGCTGGAGGTGCTGCAGCCTAGCCTCATCGAGCCGCTCTGCTGCTATTCCTACTGCTACTGCTGCTCGTGCTACTGCCTTCCCTCCGTACGGCCCTACTGGTCGCACGCCTCCTTACTTGGCCCGCTATGACTTCTCTTCGTGGTACCGGTCGGAGCGGTGACGGCGGTGGTGACAGCAGCTGGAGTGGTGGCGGCGCCCGTCATGGCAGTCGCGGTGGGGCTGTTCGGTGCGGAGTTTCTGGCGGTGGCGAGATGCAGCTGCTGCGGCGTCCGCGCGAGACCCTTACGCCCCAGCAGCTTCGTGAG